GATAAGTTAGAGATTATCCCGACGGTATGCATCTACACGAAGAAGAGAGACGGACGCTACAAGTGTCGTCTCGTAGCACTAGGAAACAGGCAAAAGCTATCTCTTCAAGGAGAAATATACAGCCCAACTGTGAGCCATGCCGCAAACAGGTATCTGCTTGTTGAAGCAGCAGCACGCGGATGGAAAGTTAGTCAGTTCGATATTTCAAATGCGTTTGTGCGTGCAGCTCTAGGTGACGAGATCGCGTTATGTCGCCTGCCCAAGCTCAACAGCTGGAGCAAGAACAAAGAAAAAGGCGATGTTGTCAGGCTGTTAAAGTCGTTATACGGTCTGAAGATCAGCCCACGCCTCTGGTATGACGAATATTCCGGCAGACTTAAGAAGTTAGGCTGGGTTGTATCCGAACACGAACCAGGTTTGTTCAAGAAGTTTGCAAAAGACAAACAGGGAAAAGAGCAAGATCTCTGGCTAGCAGTTTATGTAGATGACAACATTATCTCAGGCGAAGATGATGACCTTGTCGCTGCAGAAATGAGTGCAATATTAGCAGAGTTCCCAGGAAAAGAAATTCTCGCAGAATATGACAAGGAAGGCAATGAGATCCGCGACCTTCTCGGCGCAAAGTTGACCTTCAACGCGAAAAAGAGAGTCATGAAAATCACTTGCGAAGACGCAATTGATAAGCTGCTTGAGAAATTTCACATGAAGGACTGCCGCGCAGTAGTTTCCCCATGTTTACCAAATTCCCACGCAGACTTGGGCTCGCCGTCGAATTCCACACTTCCGATAAGATCGCTAGTAGGCGGAATGTTGTATATCAGTTGCGTTGCCCGGCCTGATATCGCATTCGCAGTACAAAGAGTAGCGACGCAGGTAGCTAGTCCAACCGACCAAACGGTAAAAGATGCTAAGCGTATTCTGGCGTATTTGAAAGGAACCAAATCGCAAGGATTAGAATACAGCAAGCAGCAAGAGAAGAAGTTCAAAGAAATCTACACTAAAGCCGCAGAGCTAGAAAACAAGGAATACAGAGACACTATTGCTTTCTGCGATGCAGATTTTGCAGGATGTTCTGTAAGTTTTCGATCCACGTCAGGAGCAATCCTATATCGACGCGGAGTTCCCATCTGTTGGAAGTCGAAACGTCAATCGATTCGAGCTACGTCAACAATGGAAGCCGAGTATTGCGCGATGTATGACTGTGTAAGGATGACTATGGACCAAGGATATTTGAACTGGTTTTCAGAACAAGAGTCA